AACACGTAAAAAGAAGGTGGTAGACAAGTACCAGTCGACCGAGGCGGTACCACCCGCTAGCTTTTCCCAGGGTGTTTTATAAATGTCCGCATGTTTCCACACCTAAGCTATGCAGTCGGTTATCTTCCAAAACAAAGAAATTAATGATGATGGATCCCTCGAGCACTAAGAACTCCGGACGTAAACTCACTCCACTCTCGGAATGTGCGGGTGGAGGGTGGGCTTGAGGGAGCAACATCGAAGATAAAATTTGTTTTTCGAACATCTGCGGGATCAACAGCAACATTGATGCTGTTCATCACTACCAGCAATCCAATCGTCCCGCCGTGCTGTTCTTGGCGGAGACAAAAATCTCAGAGACTGCACCGATTAACCATCTCAACTTCCCAACCTACGAGGTGCACTACAATCTGAGAAAGAACGGGGGAGTTGTGGCTTTTGTCCGCAGCAGTCTTTCCTGCTCCAGGGTTCGCTCTTACTCAAGGGCTGACCCAGCTGGTGATGAGCCCTACTTTTTTCCGCCGCGTCTCGTCACACGCCAGTAGCCTGCTGGATCTCTTTCTGACCACGCATCCTGTCCCTTACAGCACTGCCTTCCTGTCCACCCTGGGTATCTCAGATCACGGTGTTGTGGAGGTTAGGTTTCGGTCAGAAGCCGCTGTGGATGCAGAAACTCGTACAGGCCGCAAAACTTGGCATTACGGACATGCCGACTGGGAGGGGCTCAGAGACTTCTTCTCTAGCTTTCCTTGGAGAGATGTCTGTTTCACTGACGCGGATACGTCGACTGTCTGTTCTTTGATAACCGAAATTATCCACGTCGGAATGGAGGAATACATCCCTCACACAGTGAAAGTTCCTAAACCAGGGTCCAACGGCTGGTTCAACAAATCGTGTGACACTGCTCGCCAGCAGAAGATCAAGGCACACAGAACCTACTTACAAAATCCCACTGTAGAGAACAGACAAGCCGACGTCGAGTCCAGAAACAAATATAACGAAGCGGTTCACAATGCCAAAAACCAGCATGATATAAAAGTTAGGCACAGGGTAATGTCGCAGCGCAATGGCAGTCGGTCTTTCTGGACGCTGGCCAAGCAGATTGAAAAGAACTTCTCCCCACACAGTAGCCTTCCACCACTTACGTGTCAGGATGGAACTATTGTATTCGACTCAAAGGCCAAGGCGGAAGTGCTAGCCAAGATCTTTGCTGTCAACTCCATCATGGACTTCCTCCCCAACGCCCAAGTGCCGTCAATTCAAAGGGTTCCCCACACTATGCGGGAGGTAACATTCAGGCATAAGACCGTAAGACGAGTGCTCTTGTCGCTCGACATCAACAAAGCTTCTGGTCCGGACTTGATACCTGCCATTGTACTGAAGAGATGTGCAGCGGAGCTTGCTCCAGTTCTTTCGCGTCTCTTCCAGATATCTTATGAATCCAGCACCTTCCCAGAAAACTGGAAATTTGCTCATGTACAGCCCATCCCAAAGAAAGGATCTAAGACCGACCCTTACAACTACAGGCCTATAGCTCTGCTTTCTGTTATAAGTAAAGTGATGGAGAGGTGCATAAATCGCGAGCTTCTGGACTACCTGGAACGTCACAGCTTGATTAGCGACAGACAGTACGGTTTCCGGCACCAACGATCCACAGGGGACCTACTAGCTTACGTCACGAAACTGTGGAGTAGACTCATCCAGTCTCATGGTGAGGCTCGTGTCGTTGCTCTTGACATCACGAAAGCGTTCGATCAGCCGTGGCACGCTGCCTTCTTAAGCAAACTTCCATCCTATGGCCTCCCAGAAAAGCTTTGCAGATGGGTGGCTGACTTTATCTCTGGCCGCAAGATATCCGTCGTAATTGACGGATTCTCCTCTTCATCCCACAACGTCAACGCGGGTGTTCCCCAGGGATCGGTCTTGGCTGCAACAATGTTTCTCTTACACATCAACGACCTCCTTTCCTGCACGATCAACCCAATCCACAGCTTCGCTGATGACAGCACTCTACATGCAGGAATTCAGAGTGACAAGCCAATCTCTGCCGCTGAGCTGGAAAAAAGAAGACTAGCGACGACTTCTTCTCTGAGAAGAGACCTGGAGGATATCACTGCTTGGGGACGCAACAATCTTGTACAGTTCAATGCTTCCAAACACAGTACTGTATTTTGACGAACCAAAAAGCGTCCTAGCGCTCATACATTTTCGATGGACGGCCGAGTTCTACCAAAGAGCCATTCATTTCGGCTGGTCGGAGTCTAGATCACCGAGGACCTGATCTGGCACGAACACATCTCTTCAATAGCTGCAGCTGCTGGGAAAAAGCTAGGCTATTTGTTTAGGGCTAAGAAGTACTTTTTTCCGCATGACCTTCTCACTCTATTCAAGGCCCAGATAAGGCCTAGCCTTGAGTATTACTCACACATTTGGGGTGCTGCCGCCCCGACTACATTGTCCATGCTCGATGCTGTCAAGAGGAGGGCGGTCCGTCTCATGGATGACTCTTCTCTAACAGACAGTCTCGGGACTCTTTCGCACCGGCGGGCCGTCGGAAAATCTAGCTCTTCTCTATTGCTACACCAACGGGCTTTGCTCCTCAGAGCTCTCTTCCATGATGCCGCCGCGCGATGTGACTGTCAGACAGACCCGCCTGACTTCGGCGTCCCATCCTAACCGTGTCAAACTTCGTACATCCAGAACTGGCCGATACGACCGCTCCTTTGTCCCGAGGGTGTCTAGATTGTGGAACAATTTACAAGAGGAAGCTTTTCCCAGTTCTACTAACCTTAGGCAGTTCAAAAATCGTATTAACAAAATTTCTTTAAATAAATAAATAAAGTACACAAACGTCGGTCCCAGTTTATATAAATTCGTATTCGTATACTCTTCACTCCGTATACGGACAATTCAAGATACAAGTACTCGTAATCGACAGCACGTGTCTGGCTACTGACGTCACGCGGTCTAGTCTCGCGTACAGGTACGTTTTCTAGCTTCGCGTCGATCCTTGATTTTAAAATGCTCTACGCCGAAGAAAATATTAATATTTTGCACTCTAATTTCTTTGACCGTTTTTAATAACAAAATCCCTCGATTTTAATTTAAATAAGAGAAACACGAAATATTTCGAACCTTCCTATTGCAACACATCCATCGTATCTTTTCACGCGTACACTCGATTCTCAAGATATGGCTAATTCAAGAAGCTACTCATAAACGAAATATCAGAAGAATCAAATTGGGTTACTGGTAAGTATTAATGAAGAATTTTATATACTGGGTCCGTCAATAAGTATGAGGAAAATATTTTATTATATGAAAATTCTCTGAAATACATGCCATTTTTTTGAGTAAAACAACATTTACGTTCTAAAGACTATGTGGGCCATATGGCGCCCTTGAGCCGAAATGCAGGAATCAAGCCTCTCCCGAAATGAGCCCATTGCGTCGGCCAGCATCCGTGCAGGAATTTGGGTTACTTCTCTTCTTATTTCCTCCTTCAAATCGACAAGGGTCCGAGGCTTGCTTTGGTAAACTTTTGATTTCAGGTAGCCCCATACAAAAATCACACGTTGACAGGTCCGGGGAGCGAGGGGGCCATCGAAGTGCGAGCTATGTGAGATGTGCTCATGCAACTGTTGGGGGTTTACTGGAGACCAATATCGACTACTTTGTATATTGACGTATCCATGTAAATGGAAATGTACTTCGTCACTCATAAACAACGTCATGTCATTGTTATCCAACTGTTCAATCATGAGCTGTGCAAAATTAACACGTTGTGCATGATCCCCTGGCAACAGTTATTGACAAACTTGGATTCTGTAAGGATGGAACACTAAATCCTTCTTCAAGATGCGACGTACAGAGGACGCGGGAACTGGCACGCAAACGAACGGAACGATTCGGGCTTTGCAGCGTGTCAACTCTCACTCTGTCTACGTTTTCGGCGGTTCTAACAGTACGGTTTCGCCCTGGCGGTTTTTTCTTCAGCACATTACATGTTGTGTTGAATGCTTCCATCCACCTCAAAATAGTGTTACGGTCTGATACTGTCCCACGACGTGGAACACGACAGACTCGCCATTTTGAAAGTACCGACGTACAGTGAACACACGATGCTCAACGTTCCAAACCATCTTGCCAACTGAAACGGCACTTCTCCCACTATCCAACACGCCCTTTCCCATCGACATGGGACCAGCCCCCTCGATGTAGTACCCATTCGAAAAACATGCGTTCTTTCTGACGGACCCTGTAGATCACGGTATGTTACGTAGTTTGCAGATCGCAGATCTTACGTCCATCCTTCAAAATAATAGTGCTTTTCCCTTTGTGATAGAGGTGGGTTACGCCCACGGAGAGATCCGCGTGACATATCGTGTTAGCAGTGGCGTACGATGAGCATTCCGGCGACCTTCCATTGTGAGACTTAAGGTCGCATGTCCTTTTTTTCTAACTGCCTATTTGGAGCAGTATTTTAAACCATGTTCATCTGATTGTTTCATGGTTTGTATAGATATTACTAAAAAACAACGTTATCATTTATTTTCATCGTAAAATGCATGTTTTGTGCATTTTTTCTTCAACCGTGACTTGTTAACAAATATTAGTACAACTCTGAAATTGTATGTCAGGGTTTCCCAACCTTTTTTTATTGAGGCTCTCCGGACTATAAATTATATTTTCATGCCCCCTCTTTACTTTTTCAATGAATACAATACAAAACGCACATTATATAGGTACAAATACTTTTATTTTAATTCTAATAAAGAAATTGCAAAAGTTTAAATAAACTAATAAATGTTTTTTATCGAAAAACTTGAATAAAATAAGAGCAGGTACTAATGATACACGCATGTTCTGTACCAGTTGGTTGATTCTAGGCCCTGTTTTTGCCAGAGCTATCATCAGGTCGCTATCGACATCAAGACGATTTCGCTGTTTAGTTTTAATTAAAACTAGAGCAGAAAAGCATGTCTCACATTGTCTCAAGTTGAAGAAAAAGGAACCAGTATTCATAAAGGCAAGTGTCGAATTAACAGGCAATCTTTTGATCCAAAATTTCTCCAATGTTAAAAGATGGAAGTCATCTTTCATGGACGAGCCATTTCTAGAAATTCTTCCTGAACTTCTTCTGGTAATTGTGACACATCGACAACAAATGGTTTTCTTGTCATGTACCATATTGGTGACTCTGAATTGATGTCTCGATAGTATCGGCGAAATTCGTCTTGCAGCGCTTGCAAATGAGTTTTTATGTCAGCTTTTAAATTTGCGTCCAGTATGTTATTTTTAATTACTTCGAACAGCCGAGAAAAAGATATAACATTTTCAGAAGACACTTTTTGATTCCAAAGTTGAAGCTTTGATATGAACCCCTGAATATAATCATAATTGCTTATTATAGTGTTGTTTCTGCCCGGAAGTTTCAGGTTTAGCTCATTCAACGAGTCAAATATGTCAGTTAAATAAGCCAACCTCCATTGAAATGTGTCATCTTTGACCATTGTCAAGAAATCGTGTTTTTCTTTGAACTCAAGAAAAATAATTACATCTTCTTTCAATTCATAAAAGCGAGCCAACATGTTGCCTTTGGACAGCCAGCGTACTTTTGTATGGAACAGAAGAACTTTGTGATCAGAATCGAGATCCTCGCAAAGTAAAGTAAATAACCGACTGTTCAAAGCGCTGCTCTTGATGCGGTTTACAATCCTTATAGCCGAGTCCAAAGTGTGGCGTAATTTCTGTGGCAATGTTTTGGAAGCCAAAGCTTGCCGATGAATAACACAATGTGTACTAAGCATTGCGGGATTTTTTTCCTTGAGCTCTTTAGCTAAGCCCGATCGTACATCTATCATTGTAGGTGCGCCATATCTGCAAAGTCCAATGAGTTTCTTCCAATCCAAATAATTTTTTTCAACAAAATTTGATATTGAGTTAAATATATCTTCATATGTAGTACCTGCTGTCAAAGATTGGGAGTACAAAATCTCTTCTTGAATGATATCTCTGCCGATGCAACGAACATAAACTATTAACTGTGCACAATTAACCTTGTCGGTGGATTCATCGCAACTAATGGCAAAAAATGGCGATAATTTTACTTTGTTAATTATTTGTGACTTTATGTCTGCTGCAATATCATCGATTCTACGCTTGACTGTGTTATTCGGAAGAGACATAGACTTCATTTTTTGCTCGGCATCTTCTCCTAAAATTGTCTGCGTGGCTTGTAGGACACATCGTTTTATTAATTCTTCACCGAAAGTATGAGGTTTATTTTGCTTTGCTATCATAAAAGCTATTTCAAATGAAGCTTTGAGATGCTGTGATACACCTGTGTGATAACTTCCCGATGTATCCAGTCTCGTCCGCTTGAGTGATTCTGATTTAGAAGAAAAAACCTCTTTCGTCTTCAAAACCAGAGTAGGATGTTGTTGCTTCAAATGCCTTTCAAGGCGATTGGGCCTCATGCTATCATTACTTAAAACTTTCATACATATCACACACTGAGGCAATTGTAACTCGTCTTTTTCTATGAATGTAAATCCAAACTTAACGTAATCTTCGGAAAACTTTCTTTTCTTCGCTGCCTTTTTGCACCTGTAACAATAAAACAAATAAGTAATAAATAACTAAGCAAAATACCTACATGTAATTGCTAATTATATGCCCATTGTTTTATCTTGATAACGTAATGTATTCAACAGTATATTGGCCACCGGGAGATTTATATTTTTGTAGGCAGGTTGACGTTATAATAGTAAGTTTAAATACATTTGGAATCAATATTAGGTACTTAAAGTTCATCGTTTCAAAATTATTTCACCACGTTGGTTTGATTGTGATGTGGTAAAAAAGTCCTAATGGCCGATCTATGAACGCGTCTCCACTCAATCAACAACTTAGTCAATTATATTTTATGCTGAACTGACTGACTGAAGTTTGTCAATACACAACCTTACCTTTTAACCGTGAAACACAATAATTTGACACACTTAGACAGATTTCTCAACAAAACATGTATACCGAAAAGTCAAAGTTTGTGGGAATGAATGTCGCAGATGCTCCTCCCCGTCTGGTAGGTACTCACTACTCAATTGCTTTCTAAGTGATGAATGTTAAGCGGAGCGCGGCGGGGGAAGCGCGCGGATTTCATGTTGTGACTTGTCGAAACTGCTATTGACGACGCCGGGTTTGGAAACAGCGGTTGACAGAATAAGTGATTATGATATTTAATTTCTAATTTTATGCGTGTAAATTAAACATTACACTGTAATGTTATTTGTTAATGTTGTTTGTTTATTTTTTTTTCTTTCTAAAATGCAAACACTTTCTGCTCCGCTTGAGATCTCTCTATCCCCCCTTGGGAGGCGCGCCCCCCTGGTTGGGAACTCCTGTTGCATGTAAATATTCCACTTTTATGGAAGAAAGGGTGATTATTCTTATTATATATACTAAGTGACATATAAATCCGAACACCCAGTTTAAATGGTTTTATATTTTAATAAAATTTTGTATAAGTACTTAATGAAGCATAATAAGTAAATGATAAAAATTTCAAAATGATTGCACTGCTTTAAAGCCCTTTGACCTTTAATAATGTGTGGATGCACCCTGATGTGCTACGCATTCTCCAACGCGCCTAGGCATGCTTCTGATCAGGTGGTCAATGTTCTCCTGTGGTATCTCATTCCAGGCAACCACCAACTCCTCTCGAAGTGCTTCTAGAGTCTGAGGAGGACGTTGCAAATTGAGCAATCTCCTACCCATCATATCCCACACGTGCTCAATTGGGGATAAGTCGGGAGATCTTGGTGGCCATGGTAACAATGTGACATCATTATGTTGAAAGAAGTCTATTGTGACTCTTGCAACATGTGGTCGGGCATTCTCTTGTTGGAAAGTTGGATCTGCCAGGGTGTCAAGATAGGGTAAAAGATGGGGTTCTAGAACTTCGTGGATATAACGCTGCGCGTTCATGTTACCTCTAATGAAGATTAAAGGTGACCTGGAACCATAAGCTATAGCACCGCAAACCATAACTCCAACAGTGTGATGAACATGTCTTTCAACAAAAAACTGTGGATTCCTCCTTTCACCACGTCGCCTTCTAACCCTGGCACGACCATCGTGCATGCCTAAACAAAATCGAGACTCGTCACTAAAGACAATACTGTTCCATTCCTGATCCCAGATTGACTGTTGTCTGCACCACTCAAGGCGATTACGTCGGTGTTCTCGAGTTAAAGGGAGGACCCAGTGTGGCCGGTATGAAAACAAGCCAAAACTTCTCATTCGCCGGTAAACACTTCGCATGCCAATAGGTCTTCCGTGTTCTGCAAACCATTCATTTGCAATGGACCTGGTAGTGGAGAAACGGTCCCTTAAGGCCAATAATCTTAGGCGGCGATCTTCACGGTCTGTTGTTCTACGGCGGCGTCCAGTGCCCCTTGCTTTTTGCGTACGGCCTTCTCGAAGCCATGCCTGACAACACCTAACCACAGTGTCTACACTTCTTTGCTCTCTAACTGCAATTGCCCGAAAAGAAGGTCCAGCTTCCCAAAGTCCCACTATACGGCCCCTATCAAACTCGCTAAGTTGACGAAATCGTACAGGTCTCCGTACTCTAGGCATCGTAACCGATCGTAAAGGATGTCAAGAACCAAAATCCGCCAACGTTGATTCTTTACTGCGGCTGAAATATTCATTTTTAGAGCGTTAGTTTTATTCTTCCCTACTGTCGGTACTTGCAGATCTGTTGGCTCTCGGTGTCAAACCTATAACGCAGTTAACGCTTTTTTCAAATCGTGAGCACATTATTCGTCGGATTTGCGTCACTTGAATTTCCTGTAATTTCTGGGATCAGAAGTTTCTTAATAACAGAACGTGTTTCACATATCAAAGATGCAACATTTAATACCACCTTCTCCTAACCCCCACTTTTTGAGTACTTTAATTTTTTATGACAATAATTAGAAATCCCTGAAACCCCAAAAACGGAGTTTCAGCGATTACTTTTTTGGTTTTTTGCATACAGCGTAAAATGACTTTAAGATGGAGGAGTAAACATCCTTAATTTGCCGAAGCCGCCCAAACTTCAGGAAATCAGTATATTCACCATCTTAGGTTCCATTCATTGGCCAGTGTAAGATAGATAGATCAGAGACAACCGGGGCATAAGTTCAGAAGTTACATTTACGTAACTAGTTACGAACATTAACCACGCATCAGCGGTCGCGATTATGAACACCTGCATATTTGCAGAATGACATAGAAACGATGTTATATGAAATAGGGCCACCAAATTATCTAAATACGTCCTTTCTTAGTCCGTACATTCCGCCGCGTCGCTTGGACGGGCAGCACGAGACAGTAGACGAAATTGGCGCAAAATCCGATCATTTTTCAATATCTTCGAATGAAACTTTTTCGGTGTGCTGAAAACAAAACCCCACATTGTGCCATCGAGCCACTTTTTCATTTTTTCCACTAGGCTCTTTTTGAAAAAATCGCGAAGTGCAACAAAAAAGTAAGAATTTCCATCTCCCATAAATCTTGTGCAAAAACAAAATTTCAAAAAGTGCTCCAACAGCACCCTGGGTAATTGTCTTCTGAACATACTGTAAAAATTTCATTCAAAAATATTGAGGAATAGAGTGTCAGTTTCGAAGCAGCTGAACCCTTGTAAATGGGTTGAAACTCACAGCGTCGGAGCCGTCTTCAAAAGTAACAAATGAAGAAAAAATGCATAAAAAATGCATTTTTTGACAAAAGTGAAACTGATAACATTGTTTTTCAGTAATCTCTATACACACCTTGAAACAATCAAACGAAAACTATTAATAATACTTCTCCAGACAAGCTGTTGAAAAAAAGGACATCCAGTCATACACAACATACCATAGTCCAGAAATTAAATTACTCGATGTTTTACTTGATATAAGAGGTAGAATATGATCTCCTTCACTGTTCAATGAAAATAAAGATATGAACATAAATAAATTTGATTATGCAAGCTATTTTTATGCAAAGTTATCTAGATAGTGCGTTTTTATCACTGTCATTTACAACAAATACATATATTAAACTCGGGATGCTAGATACTATATATATTATTGTGTCTAGATACTCGGTTTCGTTGTCCAGTAAAATTGGAAGATGGAAATCAACTTCAACGGAAGGCGAGCTTTAGTTACAGGTGCAACTAAAGGTAAATATTTGAATAAGAAAGTGGGTATTGTACCATCAGGTCTCAGGGACTGTCGCTTGATCCTGGGTCTGATTGTATTAGTATATAGCTATATAGCAGTTTAATTGAACTTATTTCAGGTATCGGAAAAGACATTGCACTTCAGCTCGCAAAATGTGGAGCACAGGTGCTAGCTGTTGGAAGATCAAAAGATTTGCTGAGTAAGTATTCTACTTCCACGTATTATTTTGTATTATTTTTATTATTATTACTTCGTACGACAGAGTTATAAAACATTATTTTCATAGAATGTTATCCCATTACACTAGTATTCATCACAAACATGAGAAGTCATACTTGTAATCTTCAAATGTAGCTGCAGGTATACATGTTACAAATTCGGTATGCAATTTTTCATACAAAATTTGAGATATAAGATTAACTTAGATAAAAAAGCAAGTTAGAATTTACCTTCGGTACGACAGTTTTGAAGTATACTAAGTGACATATAAATCCGAACACCCAGTTTAAATGGTTCTATTTTAATAAAATTTTGTATAAGTACTTAATGAAGCATTATAAGTAAATGATAAAAATTTCCAAATGATTGCACTGCTTTAAAGCCCTTTGACCTTTAATAATGTGTGGATGCACCCTGATGTGCTACGCATTCTCCAACGCGCCTAGGCTTGCTTCTGATTAGGTGGTCAATGTCCTCCTGTGGTATCTCATTCCAGGCAACCACCAACTCCTCTCGAAGTGCTTCTAGAGTCTGAGGAGGACGTTGCAAATTGAGCAATCTCCTACCCATCATATCCCACACGTGCTCAATTGGGGATAAGTCGGGAGATCTTGGTGGCCATGGTAACAATGTGACATCATTATGTTGAAAGAAGTCTATTGTGACTCTTGCAACATGTGGTCGGGCATTATCTTGTTGGAAACTTGGATCTGCCAGGGTGTCAAGATAGGGTAAAATATGGGGTTCTAGAACTTCGTGGATATAACGCTGCGCGTTCATGTTACCTCTGATGAAGATTAAAGGTGAACCATAAGCTATAGCACCCCAAACCATAACTCCAACAGTGTGATGAAAATGTCTTTCAACAAAAAACTGTGGATTCCTCCTTTCACCACGTCGCCTTCTAACCCTAGCACGACCATCGTGCATGCCTAAACAAAATCGAGACTCGTCACTAAAGACAATACTGTTCCATTCCTGATCCCAGAGTGACCGTTGTCTGCACCACTCAAGGCGATTACGTTGTTATAGAAAATTTTTATGTTTTAATTACTATAGTAACTAAACTATTCAGTTTAATTAAACCGAATTTTCTGGAACCAGTTTAATTGAAAGTAATATACTATTAAACTAATTTGTTTGAATAGCACACCTCTATTACGGTGTACATTTAAAACAATTTAAGAAAACGGTTGATCTGTTATTTCGCGGACTCGGCAGGACTCGACCCTTCATTCGTGAAAGAATGGAAGTATACGACAGACGCAGTGCCGGTGACGCGCTTCGAACTCCTCAGTTTCATAAGTACTCGTGCATCAGGCGCTTAGTGATCCATAATCATGGGTGGAATATTTTTCGCTCCCAATGAAATACACTCCCTGTGGGGGAGTCGCTGCTGAAGTGACGGAATGGGAAGAAGTTTGAAATTTATGCAGTTATCTTTACGACAATGAATGGCATTTATACTGAACATGTGCTTAACACTGGCTTGATGAGCTTTTCTTATATTGTATAATGTATACCTATATGGATGTGGATCCTCCCGTTGGTGTAGACTTTATAGTATTTGAAAGTATCCTACTTTGTTTGAAGCGCGGTGGAATTCATTTATACAGGGTGTCCGCAAAGTTGGGGTTTTCCTTTTCAGAAACAACTACCCCTGAAATAACAAAGGTAATGTGTAGTGAAACGAGGGCGACCAAGTAAAAAAAAATAAAGGAAAAAGTACTCACTCTCCAGTTGACGAGAAGGGCTAAGTACGTCTCTGCCCGAAATCATACCGCTCCAACAGAAAATGAAATCAGCTGATGCGCTACCGAGCAGACACAGAAACCACATTGATTGTCTTACACTTAATGGCACATCTTCTAACAAGGAAGGCAAAATGTTGCGTAAAAAGTCTAGGTATTGCATCCCGTCCAATCGATTTGGGAGAATAAATGGTCCAATGAGCATACCGTTCACCATGCCAGCCCAAACATTCACCGAAAATGTTTGTTGAAAATGTGCCCGACGGACAGCGTGCGGATTTGCTACTGACCAAACATGAGTGTTGCGAAAGTTATTCACCCCATTACGCTTGAACGTAGATTCGTCTGTCACCAATATGAACTGCAAAAAGTCCGGATTATTGTCATGTTGATGCAACAACCACTCACAAAACCGCACTCTTGCTGGAAAATCGTCAGGTTGAAGGGCTTTTACACGTTGGACGTGAAACGGATAAAGCCCCTCTTCACGCAGCGTTTGCCACACTTTAGTTTTTGATACTTGCACTTCTCTAGCCCCGTCTCTAGTGCTTGTTGAGGGATTCTCGTCTACGCGATTACCTCTACACGCGTGACCGTGACCGTCGGTTGAAGGTTGCATACTGACCTGACACACTGACCCCGACCCAGTTCTGTCGTCGGGTTGAGCCAGTGACCTTGTACCAATCGGTGATGTCGCGGGTCGCGGCTACAGGACGGTATTCAGATATTTTTGATGTTGCAGAGCCCTTTATCTCGGTTCCCTTAAGACATTGGTGTATATGGTACTAAGAAAAATTGCTTATGTTTTCAAGATCTACACGTCGTGTAAAGGAAAACCCCAACTTTGCGGACACCCTGTATAGGGGAAAGTCGCCTAAATCGTACCATTTTTCGGAAAAATGTATAGTGAGCTAACATTTTCAATATTAAGGGGCTCCTTTTATTTTAAATATTTAACTAAATGATTTTTACATATTTCTACTTTTTTTTGTTATGGCTACTTATCTAATTTAAGAGAAAAATACATTTTTTATAAACATTGCAAATGGTACGACTTGGGAAACCAGATGCCAAAATCGTACCACTAGGTTTCCTAAATCGTACTGATCTGATATATCATACCACTTAAGTATGGTAGCATAACAGTAGTATTTAAACAAGAATACAAATTTTAATATGCTCGTGTGTAGATGGGTATTACAAAACAAAAACGAAACATGACAAACAATAATAACAAGATGTGTTATTTAGGAAAAACTGTCACAAAAGTACGAAGAACTTCCTTTATAACTTGCACAAAGTTCATGGACCCAAAGCTTGCATAAGGAACACTGTATCATATTTTCTACTCGACACTCATTACATATAACACAAAGCCACTAATCCTCTACTATTTCTACCACTACGTCATTTGAACCCTACGAAGCATTTTTCCTTTTTACTTTTTTTCCGGTTGTGGGGTTGAAGTTAAAACTTTTGCTGCTTGTGCACGTTTACTTGCATTTTTCTGATTGCTAGGACTATTTGGAATTGGTAGAATGTCTTCGAAAGAAACATCGGGTGGTTGAGTTTCAGAGGTGGCGCACGATTTCGGTTTTTCAACTAAAAGCGCCAAGGGCACATCATCATCACTCGAAGGTGTATCGTCAGCGTCCTTGCTTTCCGCTAGTGCTTTTTGTTTTCTCCGCCTTCAAAATCAACATCTGTGAAAACGTTTCTATCCACAGGCCATATACCACATTTTTTAAATCCACTTATGGCATTTGCGACACATGCTGCTTTTTCATATCCTTCTCCGATTAATCGGCCCACCTGAAATTGACCGATTGTCCTCCCGGGATGTTCTCTCAACCATTTTTCAACCGATTGGTCATAATAGACCTGGAATGGCTTAAATACTGCCACATCAAGTGGTTGTAAACGGTGGGTGGTATGACCTGGCAGCTGTAAAATAATAACCCCATTCTCGCGGGCCATCTCAATTGCTGCTAAATGTCTCGAATGTGTGGTGTGTCCATCTAAAACCAAAAGCACTCTATCCTCTTTTGAAGGTGTAACTGCAGCAATGAAATGTTGTAACCAAGTAACAAACAAATCGGCGTAAGTGTAACCAGTATCCGATATTTCGACCAGTATTTCCTGGGGGAGCTCCATCTGCCAGCTCTGGCGCCATCCTTTTCCTCTTGAAAATTACCATCGGTGCCACGTATTGACCTGCAGCACTTGCGCAGCATACGAATGTAGTATTCACACCTCTTTCGCCGCTAGCTATGACACCAACCTGCGATTTTTCTTTTTAGCCAGCACTTTCTGACATCTTTTTTGTACGGTTCGTCGACATTGTATATTTTCGGAGCAGTCAAAGCATGATCGACAACAAGTTTTTCTAAGATATTGAAAAACTCCTGAACATTCTGTTGAAACCTTTACACCGTGTGATCGAAGTTGATTCTGGTTATCTAAAGGAAAGTTGTGGATAGCGACTCATAAAGCTATAAAACCATTTTTTTCCAGCCATCCTTGTGATTTTATTAAAATTATGTTCAAGACCATTGCGTTCAGCGAATTCAAAATTTCTTGAATAGTCACTCCAAAAAAAATTGACTCCTAAATGTTGGCTTTGGGATATTGTATTGGCGACAAACCTCATTAAAACCTATGTTTCAATCACGAAAAACATTTAAGGCTGCTTTCATTATCTATAAAAAAAATAAAAAAGTAAAAAAACTGTTACTACATAGCTTCCGTAATCGTACCAGTATAAATGGCCTTAATCGTACCTGTACGATTTAGGCAATCTCTAATGGTACGATCTAGGCAACTTTACACCAAATAAATAAAGATAAAGTTTTTCTGGAAATTATAGAAATAAGGTTATGTTTAAAGTTATCAAAAAGTGTATAAAAGTTGTTAATCTTAAAGGCATACAATAGATTTTAGGCTTAGTCAACTAAAATATCCAAAACTACTTACGGTAGGTCAACCAAACTTTATATCACTTTGCCGCACAAAATAAAACCTTAAATATGTCGGGAGCGATACGCGCTACTGTCAAACTTTTGCTGGTATTACTGGTTGCCAACTTTAGGGTTTCTAATTGTGGTGAAAGATGTTTTACACATAAGCGTAATATCTGAAATATCGACAAGGTACGATTAAGGAGCCAGTACGATATAGGCGACTTTCCCCTATGTAACTGCGTTGAATGCGACTAAGAGCTGTATTGTTTTATTATTATTAGAAACAACAGTGCAATTTTTGTACACAATTGCCTTTATTCATTTTCACGTATCACGTTCCCTACTTTTTGAATTTAAAAGAATTGCTTCGAGTGAATGGGGATATAGTATAACCAGTTTCTGGACAAACAGAGAAATAGCTGGTGAAACTTGAGCACATACGAGTATATAATAAGTTCACACCATTGAAAATAAGAAATATCAAATTTTGTTAGGTTTTTTTTTTTGACATTTTTGATATCTAAGATTTGTCAGAACATAGTTATAGTATTAATCATTCAGCAAAATGCAACTTGTTTTTTTAAAATTTCAAATATCCATATATCCTTATAAATCTAAACGAAATAAATCATTAAAACTAGGCAAACACTGTTCGCTAAACTAATTAAACAAAGTTAATCAAGTTGTTTTACATGGAACAGGTAAATTCATTTCTACAGTTAATTAATTTTTGTTAGATCTAAGTAAACGGTTTAATAAATTTAATTAAACGATAGCGTTGTGCTTTAATTGAACTACTTTCATAGATTCAAATAAGCTGTTTTAGCAATCGGAGATTAGCTAAACTTATTAAGCTTGTTAGATGTCTCATAGTTAACTAATTTTTTAATAGGACTAATTAAAATTTTAATGGAGTTAATTTTTTTTTCTCAAAGGACTAATAAAGTTAAAGACATATTTCATCTAATAAAATTATTTTTAGATGCTTTAAAAGAAGAAATGGCTGCCATAGAGACGATGAAGCTGGATGTATCTGATTGGAAAGCTACTGAGCGAGCTTTGAAGGACGCTGGTCCCATCGATCTATTGGTTAACAATGCCGGTGTTGGTATGATTAAATCTCTATCAACCGTAACTGAAGACGACGTGGATAGGTAATTATAGCACATAAGTTATTGTAGGATCATTTAATTCATATCTATTCTAGTATATTCGATTTGAACGTCAAAGCTTTAATCAACGTTACCAAGCTTGCAGTGCAAAGTATGGTAGAGCGTAAGGTGGCTGGATCAATAGTGAACATCTCTTCACAGGTACGTATTTGAGCATTGTGTCTGCACGTGCCTTCTTAGCTTTTGCTTGAGAAGTAAAATATTCGTAACACGTTAAACGCCATGACGGTCCCATGTGACGACTTGACAACGGGCCTATCGCGTCACTGCGGTCCGTATGGACCGCTTTGTATTTAATTTTTGCGTTAGATATGGACCGCTGTGGCGTACTAGGCATATGTTTCCCGCCACACCACGGCGCTAAATTTTTTTTTGTTAAAATAGCTGAAGTGATCATAAATAAATGTATCAAACGTATTTCTGCATACTGTAAGTCATAACCAGAACAAATGACACAAAATTGGACTTTGGCCTGATGGGCATTTTCCTAACATTTTGCTTGGCGCTTAACGTGTTAATAGGGTACCCGTTTGTTCGACAATGAATGGTATAGTATACCATATTATGTGCTTTTTCCTCTTCAGAACGTCCCTAAATAGAATTTTTCTCTCTCACCGCCTTGCACAGCTGACAACTACTATTCTTAAAACTGGTCATCTACAGTATATTCAGATAAGAGATAGACCGGACATAAACAAGACCACGTGATCATCGAACGCTGTAACATTCGGCAGGGACGTATTAAGAGTCACGCAGTACATATTTTAGATAGTAGATGCTGCTTTGCGTAACTTTGTAGTAAATTAGCACAATTCGATGTGTATACGATTGGTGATGGATATAGGATCATGTGGGGGTGGGGTAAGAAATATATAATGATGTAAATATACATAAGGGTTTCAAAATTTTCGCTTCGATTTCCAGCTTCGGATGCCGCCTGATGTTTGGTGAAATACAGTCGAATATAATCTCAAAATGGCGTTTAAATTAGCCTAAATAAAAAATAATCGTATATCTCTTAAAATTGCTTTTAGAATATTGATTAGTATATTTTTTGATTTCTAGGTAAATATGTAACCAAATTAAAACGTTCAAAACGTAAAAAAATGTGCATGGTTGAACATTGTCAGAAAGTAGATTCTTGAATAGGTTTTGCCAAAATGGGTTCAAAAATGTCAATAATTAATTAAAAAATACAGTAGCTTTATAATTACTTATAACTTACCGAATTTGATGAACGACATCTTTTATTGGAAAGATGAGCTTGATGAGCTTTCATCATCGCTACTGCTTGAAGCACCAACGTCAATAATGAATGGCTCGACTTGTTCCTCTAAAATATTGTCCAGTTCCCACATTCTCTTTTCAACTTTGTCTTTCACGTGCTTAATACAGTTTTCCCATTTTTGCGCTGTTATTAATTCTAGTGCTTCTTTGAAAAGTCCTTTGAGGTCACAAAATTTAAAAGTTGTATTGTGCTTAGCTATATAATTTTTAACCTCTGCCCATATGAGCTCAATGGGATTGAGCTCGCAATGGTATGGAGGTAAACGGAGCACAGTTTTATTTTGACTTGCTGCCATTTCGTCAATGGCGTATTTTTGATATTCCGCCTTGTGATCCTTGACAATTCTTAATAATTGTACTTTCAGCATTGCTTCTTCAAAGTTGATATTTTTCGAGCGGAGCCAATTTTGAACATCAACTTTCCTTGAAGCCGTTGTTGGGACCTTCTCCATTCTTCGAGAATGATAAGGCGCATTATCCAACACAATTACTGCGTTTTCCTCTAAGTTCGGTAAAATTTTTGAAAACCACTGTTCAAACGATTCGCCATTTATTTCCTCGTGGTAATCTCCAGTTTTCTTAGACTCAAAGCACCACAGACCGTCAACAACAAATCCATCCTCACTGCCAATATGGCAGATAATGAGCCTTTTCCCTTTATCTGGAAATCGAAGTACTAACTGGTGTAGATTTATTTCAATAAGCGAACCTTTTCCAAATGTTTTCATCACATTCCGCGAAAAAACATTGAGACATGAGTATCAGGTTGCTATAATTGGGATTATTTAGTCATATTGAAAGAAAGAATATTGAACGTTGTATGATTACTCAGCGCTTCACAATTTAATTTAAAGTTATAAACCTTTAAAAAATGAATGATCAGGAACCTGAAATACGCGCAAATATTAATATTAACAAATTATAACTTTATAAAGCTTTAAAACTTAAAGCTTAAAGTATGAATTAAAATGATTAGAAATATTAGGAACGGTACACAATATAAAACTTAGTAACTTTTTTTAAGTTTATAATATTCGACATATTTTAAGATTATATTAAAAAATTATTGAAATATCGAAAACACATAAAAACATGGCTTAAAAAAGTTCTAATAAATGAAAATGACAATAAAACATCCACGCATTTTATCGAAAGTTATAAAAGTTTTGTTACTTGTAATATGTTTTATCTGCCCCCTGGAATTAATGTTTAGAACCTTGTTCCCAAGGTTTGAAAAACATCCGATTGTTGTCTATTACTCGTATTTACCTGCTGGATTTTTTAATCCGGTGGACAGTACATCTAGAAAGGCCCTCCTGGATGAAGTTACAGAATCGTCAACCCATACTTTACTTGTAGTGTGTCCTGCGTTTACCCACGTTTCATCAAGGTAATAAATCTTCCTGTTTTGATTTCTATATTTCCCAATTTTTGTTAAATAAGCAATAGCACAATTTCTTCTCTATCCAGTAGTAAACTATTACGACCCCGTTTTTTCCATTTGAAATTTAAATGCTTCAGTAACGCATGGATCGTTTGAAATTTGGCAACGTTGTATCTCCATTTACCTCCTGCAGTACTTTATCTATAGTAGGTTTCCTAAAGAAGAATTCATGCACTTTCCTCCTAATCGCATGCTTATCAGCTTCATCCAATGATTTAACAATACTTTTGCGATGTTTACTGGTCATTGGCTCAGAAAAGGTGTGATTTTTTTGTATTGTCTTAACACATTAAACACTAATGCGCGACACACCCCAACTTTGTGAGAAACCTTCACAACAATTTCTTTGATGGTTGATGCCTCGTTCTCCTCGCGCTCGATCTTATATATATATTCAAAATGACCTCTTTCATTTCTGCACTCAGGTGTCTTTTTTTAGAGCGTTTCCTAGGTGGACTACAGGAGTTTACAACTTCATCGGCAGTATCTGTACTACTGGGCATTTTGCGCAAGCAGTTGATAACAATAACAATCAATAACAAGGTATAACAATAACAACGACAAACTCAACAACTTAATAAGATAACAAACGAAAACGTCCAAAGAAATATCAAATTGCAATGATGCACTCGACATACGTAACACGTCTGAACCTGAATGTGATTCTGCCTTGATACGACTGCTCTGCCGCTCGGCATAGGCATTTAATTGCGAATTGACCAATAAGGGCTCCTGTTTTATGTCGAGACGGCGGCGTTAGCGTGAAAATCACCCGAACCTTTTGTTTACATCCGGTCTATCTCTTATCTGAATATACTGTAGGCATGGAAACCTACTAAATTTCGCGATATGGGCGCTCATGCCAGGGTAGAGTGAACATTAATTGGAAATCTGCCAATTAAATGGCAGCAACTATCACACTTTTGATAAAAATGATACGTGTATAGGTTTATATTCCCAGTGATACATCCATGCTTCAATTTTGTTTTGTTTACATTTACTTCCCACGCTACTGGCGTGAAAGAATTGTAATCGCGAAAAATTTTAAAAATTAGATATATTTTTTTATGACAAATGATATGTAAATCACGGCAAACCATGTCACTAGTTTCCATTAGTCTGTGTCACTATCTGTTCTCGGTCTGTCCGCTAATCTTTGGCCTGCATTTTACTACACTGAGGAAAAAAATAACTGTAACAGCTAAACAGTTTAATTAGTTCACCTAGTTCAAGCAAATTAGTTTAATAGTATGTTACTTTAGAACTGGTTCCATACAATTTAGTTTAATTAAGCAGAATAATTTTGTTAGAGTAAATAAAAAAAATATTACGGGTAGTGAAAGCTCCGCAGGACAACTGGTTGACTACGTTTTCTCAGTAGGTATATACTCGTATGTACGGATTTTTATGAAATTTTCACAGATGGTTGTTACTATGCCTAGGACGAAAAAGCTTTCTAGTTTTTGAAAATCGATCCAGTGGCGTTGAAACTAGAGGCAAACTTCATTTTTTACGTTTCAGAGGCTCCTGATTATTTTCAGAACATGTTTTATGGGGATTAAACACTGGGGGGTTGTAGCGTATGGGGGGAGGGTATATCCGTATTTGTTTACCATATATTTCCCTGTACACTTGCCCTCAAATAATTTTCAATACACGCGTCTCTCGTCCCACACAACTCAACCAACGTTCATACAGGATGTCCCAAAAGTATATACACACCCAAATATCTCGAAAACTAAGGCCGTTTCTTGATTTGTCGGTGCGGTATCGGTGCGACGGCGGTATGCTCGGTATACGCGGTACCGAAAACTTAAGCATCCCACAAACCGGCGCGAAATATTCGCTTTGGCTGCGAAAATTTCGCGGCGATGAATTCGCGATTAGATTAAAACGCGGCGGTTTACGGACAGGCTCAGACTTGTGCGAAGCGAATGCGATTGTTCCAGCGTTTTTATCGCGGCGTATTTCAGTTCGCCTTTGACCGCATTTTTGACGCCGTTCTTCAAAGATTCGCAATGGCAAAGACGGAATTATTGATAGAAATAGTGAACAAGTATCCTTGTTTGTATGCTTTGTCGAACGATGAATACAAGAATGTGAGAAAGAAAGACAAGATTTGGATGGAAATAGGAAAAGAATTAAATACAAATGGTATGTACCTAATATTTTTTATTAACTTGTTAAATAATTTACAGTCTACACAAATGTGAAAACGAACATTCTATATATTGGGCATAGGCATATCAGAATTAAAATAATTTACGAATTTGTCACGAGTAGAAAATGCTACCCTTGCTGCCCGCCGAGGATCATTTGCTATATCAGTAAAAGCTCCAAGCACGGGTTCTGGGGGATCTAAGAATTGAAAATATTTGTCATCGCCACTTTTACTTCGTGAAAAATTGTG